AGCCTCAAATTTCTAATAATATAGTGCCACTTAATAGCCATAAGTTTGAGTGGGATTTGATATGGTTTTAGACCTTAACTCTTAAAGAGCATTTAAGGCCATCTCCAGCCATGAGCCATAGGCCAAATATAGTCCTAAAATAATGCAAAACCCATCTCCAGTCATGGGCTAAAAAAAAATTTGGCCAAATTTGGAGGGCCACATTTAGCCCTTTAGCCCTCCAACTAGGCCAATTGTAACCCAACTTTGGCTTAGGCCAAATTTTTTTGTGAGCCCCATGCATGTGCTTTTCAAGAAGAGAAATTATCAAGTGTGGGCAAGAGCACGAAACATCTCGTGTAAATGCATATCCAACAACCAATATTAAGGGTGCGCTGACATCATCAATGATGTCAGCTAGGCGTTAATGCATATTTTTTTTTAAATAGCCTTTTTAAATGCTATCAACATATACATGTCATATATAGAATATTGTCTCTAAATAATAGTTTAATTAAATTAAATAATTCATAGTTGTGGAATATATGAGTGTTGTACCATAGTTTTTCTCAAAATAATAAAATATGAAGGACTCTAAAATATAGTCCTGGATGGTTGGAGATGAAAAAATTTAGCCCTACACTATTCTTTAAAAAATTAATATTTTAAAGGGCTAAATTTATAACCCTGGACTACATTTAGCCCTATAACTGGAGATGGCCAAATGTTTTTCCTAACTTGTACTTTCAAGCTAAACCCATGTAAGACATGAAGGCTTTAAAGCCTTTGCTGATTTTGGACCCACTCCCACATGGCCTATTGTTAAGCTCATAATTTCATACATATACATGCCCTATTTACTTACTTCTTTTGCTTAGTTTCCTAGATTTATAAGTTATTTGCCTCCCTTTGTGTGTTTTGTAGGCCAAAAGAGCAAGAGAGCATAATTCATGCAATTCAACCATGTTAAGGCCTAATTTGGATGAATGGAAGAAGAGCTTAAAGACAAACTCATTTTTCCTACAGCCCCTTGCCAGTCCAGTTTCGTGGATCACATTGTAAGATCTGTTTCAGCAACCTACACAGCTCGGATGAGGCCGCATTCTTCATGAAAGTTGTTCCAATGGGTGTGTACTATAACATATCCAAAATTCA